CTACAGAAGAACTAACGTTTAAAAAGGGATTGAATGGCGCACAAACTATTAAAGTTTACAGTAAAAATAGCGTCATAGAAAAAATTGGAACCCTAAACACAAAAAGGCATAAGTTCGAAGGAGAGACGAGTTACTTCTCCAACGCAAAGTGCAGTTTTATGAGGTTTTTCGCCTGCACATCAAAACAATTATTTTGAGATTACTATTTCAAGATCCATTGCAATTACAAACCAACAAATCGTAATGCCATAACCATCCACATCTCTGCAGAACAACACTTGTTTTCTGAAAGTAGTGTACATTGACATGTTTCACCCAATGGCAAATGCATTTGGGTGCCAGCTGAAGTAAATTTGATTAGCATCAGGGCGAGAGATAACCATGAGTTTCCAAAAAAACCTCATAAGCGACAATATTTTATTCGTTGTATATTCTAATTTTTTCATTATTATTAGTGATACAATCCTAAATTGGCATTTATTCATCGACTCGCTCTCTTTTTGCAAATTCTTTATCCTCCGTATCATTGAAGGTGTAATCTTGGCCTCCTACACTTTTATCTACTAAAGTATCCAACTTCGCATTCGGGTAACTTTATTTGCGTGTCCTCGCACTGATGATCTGATATGGCGAGCGTAAGTTGTCGAAGGAATGGCTTGATAGACATCATCCAACCCATCAACCATCCACACCAGTTTCTTCGCCTTGTACCACCCAAATGCAAATGCACGGCAACTTCGAAAAATTTGTTTGGTTTAATGCTACACTTCCGACGTGCGACACATGCGCAACGTGTTTGAATGCCTCTTCCTCCTCCTCCTTATCCCCCTTGTTCTCCTTCTTCTGCACTTTCAAAGAAGCTCCCGTTTAGAGCTTTTGCGACTTTCAGTTGACATGTTGTCTGAGTTGAGACCCAAATTTGGTAAAGGAAAAAGAGGGGATATGAAGTTTGCTGGCCCCTACGTGGGTACTGGGTCAGCAAGCATCTTTCGAGATGTCACTCCACCCCACTGAGTGAGATGCGCTGATTAAAGCAGGACTATTCAGATAACGCAGAAAGCCTCGTCATAGCAAATGGCCTAATTCCAACTACCAATCACGAGCGGTGATCCCGGACTACGGAATGCACTTGGCATGCAACAAATGCACGAAGAAATCCCAAAAAGAAATACCCAATTTTAGTGCTTTTGCTGGCCCCACAATACCCAAGTCAAATTAATCTTACTTTGTATTACTTTCGAAATTTTGCATTCATCATGCTCTATCTAAATTTATAAACACAATTGAATCAAGTGCATCCCATTTTAAGCCTCAAAATATTTCCATTTATCCAGCTTGATCTGTAGGCATTAATTCAAACCATATGTATGGCTTAGTAGTACAAGTGTAAAAGGCAAACAGATCTAATGGAACTACTTTCCCTGCAATGTGGAATGCACAACTCACAACGCACGGCTCGTCTATGTTGAGATAACAGCTTAAACACTTAAATTATAGAAAAGCATGTCTCGATTTGCCGAGGTATTACCCAAGAGGATTAACTCACCTAGCTCAATCTGCTCAACGTCACAAAAGATGACGTCTTTCGAGAGGGTTCAACTCACAAAATAGAGTATGTGCTAAATTTCTGCTCAAATTGCTGTATGTTTTGCCTTCAAATAGTAAAGCTCTCAATGTAGAACAATGAAACTGTAATAGCCTAACGTAGCTAAAGTGTACGCAGCCAGAACAAGCGCCTTGTCGATGGTGAAGGATGTTGTCTTGGAGAATTCCCGTGTCCAGCATAGCTTTTGTAATAATCAGATTCTCCAATGGAATTCAGAATTGCAATGGAGGTATTTTTAGACCTTAAATTTATTAGAGGATGTTACACATT